GGGCGATGACAAGAGAGGTGGGAGAAGGGCAAGCACGAAGAGGAACGATGTTAATGGCTGGTTCATTTGTCGCGACGATGAGATTGCTCGCCGATATATTCTATCCGAGGGAGGCAATGTTTGCGCATCGTCGAGTGTGAAATCGTGCAGAGGATCTTGGACAATTGTGTACACGATCTCGCCTCTCCTTTCGTATTCTCTCGGCTCTGACGTGTCGTCGTCGGTCAAGTCCCCGATGACTTCATTTAGAGGTATTGAAAAATTGATGGAAGAAATTTTACGCGCGATGATTTCGAAATGTGCTAGTTATATTTTTTTCTTTCATCTTGTTTCGTAATTAATCTCGTTGTCAACGACGTGATTTCTTTTATATATATATATATATAAATACCAATTTGTTGAAATTGCTAAAAATAGGATGGGAATATAAAAATATACTTGGAAAAGATAAAGAATTGTGAGAATTTTAAAATAATTATTTTCAATTAAAAGCTTCAAAGAAAATTCTCAGCTAAACATTCTACGAATTCTTCTCTTTTCTAAAATATTATTATTGTGGAATAATAAAATATGGTGGAGTATTTTAACAAAAAAGCTAACTGTAAAGGCACAGAAGCACAGGTGGTTAGAGAAGCTCGAGGAGGATGTACAAACAATGGCGTGCACCTTGGTAATTAACTCGATCGCGATTCTAAAACGATATTTATTATTTAATTAATTCAATCGCCTTCATCAGTGGGACAAACGAGGATTACGAGAGGAACGACGAGTAAATTCTTTCGTCGCAATTTGTCACACGCGTAAACGAGCCTCCTCGTAAACGATTAATCCCTAACGATCGGCACACGATACGTTCGAATTAACCAATTATCGCGGTACAACAAACGACGAATCTCGCGTTACAACGCGGAAGACGCGTGTTGTAAGAAGTGGAACAAGGAAAAAAAAAACAGGAGAAAAAAATGGAAAAAGTAATTGCGACTGAATGATCTACGAGGATCGGCGAACGATCGATAAATGAACGGAGCGACACGTGGCGAGATCGTTCGATAAATCAATTTCCACGTTATCGTCACAACACTGTCACAACACTTTAATGAAAATCGACGGGACATTACGACACGACGCGGTCGTGGCAATTCGTCGGCCGGAGATCCAACTCCCTCGAGCGAAATTTTCTAGCCGGCCGATCCGGTTTTTTACGTACTCGTCATAATTCTATCCCATCGGAGCTCGTTCTAATGGTTTATGAAAACCGGGCACGAAAAAATTGTCATCCTAATGAGAGAAAATGACCTATAATCTGAACGATTCCACGGAACGGTCGTGGCCACTGAAGAACCCACATGGTAGAACGGTAGTCCATTATGATCCTAACCCTTGGAAAATGACACGCGTTTCTTTCTTTCGGCCCATTCGATGGTCAAGCATTTCCAATTTAATCGCGATCGATGTAAAAATATCAGGATCAGAAAAATTGCCGAGAATTCAACCCTCGCGATCGTTTACAGGATTCTTCCATTAGAGAAGAAGCGAACGATATCGCGTAATTCGCCACTGTATCTCGAGGGACGAACCCCTTTC